ACCCAAGGTCGCGAGACCGCCTGAGCGTGATTGCGAGGGATCCCGATGTCAAGAGCGTCTGGATCCCCCTTAGGGACAAGCAGCATGGCGTAGAGATGAGGAGCAATGGTCGCAAGGAAACCAAGCTCAAACTGCCTGTCCTCCAGGACCTCCAAGGGAAAAACTGGGACACGCCAAGTAGAAGGAGAACGAGCAGTGCCGCTCACCAGGTGGGAGGCATAGTCAAGACGATGTGACGAGGCAAAGCTAACGGCAGTGGTAACAAGGGCTGAGAGACGACAAAGGGGCAGTCGGGTGAGTGACCAACGCGGAAAAAATACGAGAGACGACAGGACGGGAGGCACGGAGGTAGTCGGACAACGGGTCGTGAAGCACAGTGAGGGACGACTCAGGAGGCTGTGGAAGGACTGGAAGAGGTGGAACACGAGAGCGGAGTACAAGGTCAAACGTGCCATCTACATGGTAACGAGACGACGGGGCTTTGGAGACACAGCACAATTGAGGGGAGAACGACGAGTCCACTGGGACGAGGAAATGGACTGAACGGGGGGAACAGGAGGGGACGCTAGGGGACCACGGACCAAGCGTGCAGGTGCTGGGTCGGGCAGGTCGCGTAGTCGCAGTCGCTGCCGCTCCGACTCCTCTGGTGTCTGCTGCGACAGTACTTGCCCCTTCTGCTGATCATGTGGCTCCTCCTCTACCCTCTCCTGCTGTGGCTGCAGCTGCACCACTTTTCGGGTCTTACGCCACATTGCAGCTGCGGAGATAACTAATTCAACGGGAGCTAGACTATGGGCTAGGCCCGGGGCTTGAGTGATCTATGCGTTCATTCGTTCCTTAGTCGTTTCCAAATGCTCACAATACTTGCTAGTTCACTGGAAGAATTGGCAAGAGTTTCACTAGGAAAACTTGAAATGAATGATACACAATGGCAAGGCAACAACGACTACATTAGATGCTAGCATGCAAGCCAGTCGACTGCCAGCGCAGCATGGTCGACTGCGTTCTAGCACGACAAGGTCGACCGCGCTCTAGCAGTGCAATGTCGCGGTCTGCCAACGCTGTAGGTCGACGGCATGCCAACACCACAGTAGGTCGGCGGCACAGCGTTGCATTCGTAGGACAACAGTGCACCCGCTTCACATGTGCTCGTAGCTGGTTGGTGCGCTGTGCCTCGTCACTCCCACAGCGCAGATGCCACGCTGACCACAACCCACATCCGCACGTGACCCTCCACGTCGACCTTGGGATAACATCCCTGAGGTTGGCCTTGCCAGGGCCACCTGGGCGACTGTCATGCACCTCCGCAGAACTTCGTCACCCGGGTAACCTGGTCGACATGGAAACCACCAGGTCAGCGTCGAATTCCTTGGGGAAAGTCGACGCCTTCGAGGCCGACCTCGCCAGGTCGACCACCTAAACTTGGCGCCCTCCAAGTCGGCGCCCCACGGCTCCCCTATCCAAGTCGACGTCGACGCCTCCCAAGGTCGGCGTCCCCCTCGTTGACCACAAGGTCTATTCGACCGCCGGCTCCCCATCGTCGGCGGTTGTGGCAGTGACCTCGAGCAGGTTGACTAGCTCATCGACCTGCACACCCTAACCGGCATCGCCCACTGCAGCTGATCGGCTGCGCTCCCCACACACCCGACAACATAGTCGGCTCCGCCCAAGCGAGGACAGGGCCAACAACAACTCCCGTTGATAGCAACGCAGAGAGACTACGGACTGCACTTCTTCAACCTTTCGATTGCCTTCCTTTAGGGTCGCCTATACGAGAAGATCTGGCTAAGCCATCATCCTGGCTTCACTGGCACCTTCCTGCCTGAGACCCAGTGGAGCTTGAGACGACCAGTCTATGGTCTCCGCCAGGCACCTCGTGAGTGGCACGACATTCTTCGCTCCACGCTTTGTGACCTTGGGTTCGAGCCGTCTACTGCCGACCCGTCGCACTTCGTTTGTCATGGTCCCACACCGTTCTTTGTTCTTGTGTACGTCGACGACCTGGTCTTTGCCATGGCAAACAGAGTTGCTCTAACGGAGGTGAAGTCCAAACTGTTGAAGAGACACGCGTGCACCGACCTTGGTGAACCGCACCGCTATCTTGGCCTGCAGATCACCAGGGACAGAGCTATTCACACCATCATTATGACTCAGTCATACAGGGTGCAGCCGATCCTTCAGCAGTTCAGGCTTTAGCTCTCCACTGCGCAGCCCACTCCTCTTGCTGTCGACCATAGGCTCACCGGCCCCTTTTTTGACGAGCCCTTTGAGTCCATTGGTCCTTTCGCAGATCTGGTAGGGTGCCTCATGTACCTAATGATCTGACTCACTCGGACCTCGCCTTTCCTCTCAGCATCCTTGCTTGCTTCGTTGCAACTGGGAAACACTGCCCTGTTCACTGGAGAGCTGCTGTGAGGGTGGCGAAGTACCTGGCGACTACATCAGGCATGGGGCTTGTGCTTGGAGGGAGACAGTCAGTTGTGCTCACCGGTCTCTATGACTCCTCTTATGCTGACGACGTTGAGACTCAGAGGTCTACCCAGGGGTACTGTTTTAGCCTGTGCTCTAGCGCTGTGTCATGGAGGTCGACTCGGTCCTCGTCTGTCGTGCATTCTAGGGCTGAGGCCGAGATCTACGTCGGAGCCATGGCTGCACAAGAGCTGCGCTGTTTGACTTTCTGACGTTGTGATCCACCTTGAGCTTTGCATTTCTCTGACTGGTCTTGTGACCTTAGGTACTTGTTGCTACTTGGCACCCTTCACATAATCTATGGGGGTGTGTCAAAGCTGATAGACATTAGTGAGGTTTGTCAAATTACATTTCTATGACTGTAGGCTATAGTGGGGCAGCTTACATAGAGTACAACCCTTCTACGGTTTTACTACTTCTACTTGTCATTCCTTCTACTGAACCCATTCCTGCACAGTTCTCTCGACATGGTTTCATAGCAGGAACATGGTTAGATTTGTTTTAGGGCCCACCAAATCGATCCGCTCGACCCTGCCCAAAGCACCCTTGCGCTGCCCTACCCTTCCCAAACAGCGTCGCACTGCCCTGCTGCCACACGCGATGCCTACCCTAGCGCGCTGCCCTGCTGCCAAGCGCGTACGCTGGTATCTTGGCACGCTGCTTGTTATGATTTTTACTAAACAGAGTGCGTGGAAGACTTTATGAAAAGGATGAATTACAGAATGCCAATTAAATGAATAAAGCAAGCATTTATAGGGTGAATACGTGCTAAGCACGGACCTCGGGATGTGGGTGGGTTGGAAGTGTCGCGATTGGTGCGGGGCGACTCGGTAGTGGTTCGGGCCGAAGTGTAGGCCGAATCGAAGTCCTCGGTGTCGAGATAACAGTGCTGGAATGAATGAACTATGCAAGAGTGCTAGTCTAGCTAGTGTAGGGGCTCATCTCGAAGCACTGGCATCACCGCGCCGATAGCTGCTGTTACCGCCAGGTACGGTGGAATGCCCGCCTGCGGGTGTGTGCAACGAGGAACGTCGGCACCCAGATACGACGGATAGAGAATAGATAAGGAAAACATTACATGCAAATCTCTCTCTCAAGCTGTCCTTCATTGATAGTTTCATAGAGGTACAGGCATGGCAAGAACAGGTACAGAACAGACCTAGTCCTATGAGCAGCCGGTTATGCATGGAAGGGCTAAGGTAGGCACAACGGGTAGCCAGAGAGAGGCCAGGCTAGCAAGCCATATGTACCAGTAGGTCAGGACCTTGAGGGCAGGGGAGGAGAGGCAAAACACACCAGGGCAGGCACACAAGGAAAGGCCAGCCCGAGCAAGGCAAACAAGGCAAGGCAAGGCAAGCAAGACAAGGCAGGGCCGGCAATGCAAGTGTCTAACACTCAGCTAGACACCCATCTCGCTGCTAACCCGCTCACTGACCCATCACCCCGTCCATCTCATCCTCGAGGACCTGCCAGAGATCCCCTAGGCTAGGTTCCCAGGGGTCCCTGGCCGTCTGTGAGAAGGCCGCCACATCCCCTATGTTCGACTTATTCAGGAATGACGTGGCCTGCGAGCGCTGGAGCATGACGCTGAAGCGCTGCCTGTAGTGAGCAGTGAGCCGTGCAGTGGTGGTGGTGAGCCTCCCCTGGCAGAACCTCCTTTTTGCCGCCGAGGTTGCTAACAGGCGGATAAACTGCTGTGTATCCGTAGCTAGGAAACCGTATGTCTCCACTGCCAACCCAAAGAAACCCACGTAGTCAGGCCACCCCTCATAGATCCTGTGTTTCCTCTCTGAAGCTTCCCTTGCCGCCCATCCAGGTGGCTTCCGGGCGCGCTTGTCACGGCACTGCAGCACTGGGCCAGTCACTGTCACGTCTGTGACCCAAGTCTCATTCGACTCCTTGTCCCGAATAGCAAGATCACCTCTCTTCTTCAGCACCGGTGGGGAAAAGGCAGTGGTTTTGTGGAAAACCGTGAAGTCGGCCTCCTTTGCCATCTGGAGCAGAGCGTACACTAGAGCATTGTGTGTGCGGACGACATCTCCCCCGTACCCACACCGCAAGAGGTAGTTCGCTAGGCTCGTGTCCGCGATCGCAGTGTTGGCGCGTTTGCACGGGCAGGTAACTGTGACTGGAAGAGCCATGCCGAGGCGGAAGCCAAGTGCCAACAAGAACTAGCCAGGGGCAAAAGTAAGGTCAGATCTCGTTGGGACGGCATGGAGCCAGTCCCCCGCGCCCACCCCTTGCAGACTGATGAGCCGTACTGTGTGCCCACGGTCCTTCCCTGGGCGGTCCTCTATTGTGCTAGCCAGCAGCTCCGTTGCCCTCATCTCATTGATGTGGTGAGACAGAGTCAGTTGAAGGTTCCCCTGACCCGCCGGCTGCTCCCTGTAAGTGTGTAGTGCCGCCCGTGCGGCTATAGGGAGCCCAGCTTCCAGAGTTGTCAGGGGGTTGATGTCGGGTGGGGCAGGGGTCCAATCGTGGCACAGCAGCTCAACCGCCCTGCTCAGGAGGTAGGCCTCAGGTAAGTTCATCTACCGCAGCAACTGCTGCGCCGCCGTGGCCGAGGCAATGTAGGCAGCAGGTGCCTCGGAGACGGGGTCAATAATCCCCAAACCTCCCAACCTGACCGGCAGAGTCCCCTGGCGCCATAACAGACTCCTCTCCAGCTCGTCAATAGGTACCCGAAGCTTCGCCACTGCTAGTGCTGCTGCCATCAGAGTCTCACTCCAGCCCCTCCACCCCTCTCTCCCCAGGACTTCCGCCGGTGTCGTCCGCAGAAAGTAGGAGATTCGGCGGGATACGCTCCTCGTGAGGATGAGCATTGCGCTCTGCAGGTGGAGCTGCGCCACCAGAGGTAACGGGGCCGACGCCTCATCGAGCCTTGTCTGTGCTTGGGTGGTGCAGAAGGCAGGCAAGCCGACTAGGCTGCCTAGAACCCGAATCCCATCTGCGATCTGCTGCAGGCCGATGGGAGCTGCCGTGCCGCCGTCATCCGCGAGCGATTGTCCCCATGCCGACGATTTTGCGATGTTGCAACGGAGGCCGAGCGTTGCCAACTCCCTTGTAATGGCCCCAAAGGCCTCGTAGCAAGCCTCCTTCGGCCCCACTATCGTTATGTCGTCGGCATAGGCCACTATCGTGACTTCCGGTAAGAAGGTCGCCGTGCTTAGCAGGCATGGTTGAATCGCGGCCGCGAAGAGTAGTGGACCGAGCGGGTCCCCTTGACGCACCCTGCGTGACGAGAGGATATGGTTCACCCCTAAACGCTCATCTACCAAGAGTGACGACGGTGCCCCATAGAGAGTTCGGACCAGGGGCATGAGCTATAGCAAACTGGACTAGGAGAGAGCGTTGAAGAAAGCCGGACGTTCGACACTGTTGAAGGCGTTTTCTATATCCAGCTGTAGCGCTACTCGTATGTCGTCGTCCCTTAGTAGCGATCTGACAGAGTGGATGATACACTCTGCGCCTCCCGGTATCGCCACCCCAATATCTGATGTTGTCGGTTAAGCCACGCAGTGCTGCCTTAGCTACGACTCGAAGTATAGCTTCCCCTATCGCAATAGGGGGGACGCCTCCTCCTGGCTTTTCTAGGGCGATCAACCGTGAAGGCAGCAGCAAATCGCAGGTCGTTTGTGTCTGGAACGTGCTCAGCAGGTAAGTCACTACCTTAGCGAGTAGAATAAGCACCTCCCCGTTTGCCAGTGCCGGATCCTTGAGGTGTTCAAAACAGGTGCCAGATGGGCCTGCTCCAACCCCGTTTGGGCTTTTCTTGAGGATTTCGCGAAGCTCGTCCGCTGACACACTAAGGGTCAAACGGTTGAACCCGGTAACCAGATCCGGTAGCGATGTTTCAGTTGCGGGGTGTTTCGCTTGGAGGGCAGTCAATGTTGCAGCCGTGGCTTCTGCGAGCGGTGTAGTCCGTAACGCCGCAACCGCCTTGGAAATGTTTCCTTTACGTATCAAACCCTCCGCCCTTGCGCAAAAACCTGCGTCATCTGGTTGGTGTTGTCAGAATGTCATCATTGTCTAGTCTGCAGTAGAGTACTTTATAGTGAGTACAACCCAAATTAGGGTTTGCTATATGCACTACCCGGCTTACTAGCGAACCTCTCATTTTCTCATTTCTGTTCCTACCTGCTAGTTTTAACATGCTATCAAAGCAGGTCGACCCTCCTGGGTCGATCCTGTGGGTGGGCCCCACCCGATGCTTCCGCTGCTCTACTGCTGTCGCGCGCCCCGGGCGCGCGACCCTTTCTTCCTGCCGCGCACTCGGAGCGCGCGGCGTTTTTCATCCCGCCGTGCGCTCGGGGCGTGTGGCGGTTTTCTGCCCGCCGTGCGCCCCAAGGCGCGCGGCGGTTTCCTGCTTTGCGCGGTGGCTTTCTGCCCGTCGTGGCGCCCCCGGGGACCTGCGCGCTGCCCCCCCCCCCCCCATCGCCCGTCGCGGCGCCCTGGGGGCCCGCACGTCGCCCTCCTCTCGTCGCCTCGTCGCGGCGCCTGAGGGCCCGTGCCGGCCCCTCCCGTCGCTTCGTCGCGGCGCCTTGGGGGCCCGCGCGTCGCCCCCTCCCGTCGCCTCGTCGCGGCGCCTTGGGGGCCCGCGCGCCGCCCCCTCCTGTCGCTTCGTCGCGGCGCCTTGGGGGCCCGCGCGCGGCCCCTTCCGTGGCCCGTCGAGCCGCCCTCGGGGGCCCGTGCGCGGCCCCCCTCCCGTCACCCGCCGTGGCGCCCACGGGGGGCCCGTGCCCTGCTCCTTCATGGCGCCCAGGAGACCCCCCCGCCGCCTCCCTTTCCCTCCGTGAACCGCCCCTGCTGCTTCCCGCTCTCCTGCTTGCATTAGGGTTTCGGGGTGGCGTGCATTGGGGTGATTGGTGTGGGTAACCTGCAGCTCCTCCTCCTCCTCCGTCTCCCACTGCTACAGCTACCGCTGAGGGGGGGGTAGGTGTGTGGGAGCCGAGGAGTGGTGCTAGGGGGTTGACATGGAAGTGGAGCTAGGGGTACAGCAAGGAGTGTGTGAAAGGGGGGTGGGACAGTTGGGGGAGGTTGAGCAGAGGCTGCCGTCTTGTCGTCCGCAGCACCTGTAGTCCGGGGCGCTGTCCTGGTAGCCCAGAGAGCCTGCTGTGCCTGTCGCCCGTGGGTCCGTTGCTCTTGCCGCTCCTCGTAGCCGCCGAGCCAGATACTCCAGTAGTCCGGGACGCTGTCCCGGTAGCCACTGTGTGCACGCTCCTGTTGCCCGTGTGTCTGCAGCTTCAGCCGTCGTCTCCCATCTCCTCTCCTCTCACAGTCCCGCCACGTTCCCGTTCCCATGAGCGCAAGCCTTCCGCTGACAATTGGACCTCTTTCGCCCCGTCCCCCTCTGGCACCTCGTCCTCCTCCCCTCGTTCCGCGAGCCGTTACTCCGCCCCTGGTGCCGGCGTTCTGCTCGCTTCGGCCGGCCTGTTGCGGTCTTCCCGCCGGGATCCATGGCGCCAGCATCGGCGTTGCCTGGCTAACCCTTGGCTGGCCCCAGGTAATGCCTTGTGCTCTTGTCACACTGCGTGTTTCATGCCACGGGGTCTGTTGACCCGTGACGGCAACCGTGGTTGTTCTCTACCCCCCCCCCCCCCCCCCACCCCCGTCGAGCTCCGTGAATCCCGGCGCGGTGGTTGTTGCGTTGATGGACCTGCCACTGCATTCCCTGCCACGTTGGTGTTCGCTGTGGGTGTTTGTCTGATACCATTCCCTGCCTCCATGTCCCCGCCACTTGTCCCCACAGATGGCCACTGACGCTCTTGCCCTTGTGGCAACTGCCCTTGCAGAAGCCAGCCCAGGAGGGGTCCCAGGGGACCAGGTCCCAGCCCTGCTCTAGGCCGCCTCGGTGCTGGCTGGGCTCGAAGCTTCATCTTCCCGCGGGCGGCGCCGGCAGTCCCGCCGGGTCCGTGACCCCGTCTATCGCTCCCCCCCCGACTGTGCCCCTGCTTGCTTGCGCCCTCGGTAGTAGTAGACGTTCCGGCGCTCGCAGCGGCAGTCGGCGCATCCTCCTCGGCCCAGGCTCTGTCCCGTTCCCCTGCCGCCGCTGTCACCGCCGCGACCAGCACAGACGCCGTTACAGGCTCCGGTGAAGCCGCCAGCTCCACCTCCTTGGTCCGTTCCAGAGCCACTGCTGGTCCCGGCTCCTCCGGCTGCCACGCCTGGGGGATGGCAGAGGGTGAGGCTGAGCCGCCGCCAAAGGCAGCGTCAGGCCCGTCAGACTCAACAGCAACCTCCGCCCCAGTCGCCTCAGCAGCAACCCCCTCCGGCCCCGCAACAACCACAACCTCAACCGCCTCCGACTCAGTCACCGTTGCGCCATTTCCCACTGCCGCCGTGGCCGTAGCCGCATCGCCCCCCGCCTCCTGGTCCTCCGCCAACTCCTCTGGTGCTGCTATTCCCTCCCGTCCCACCGGCTCCCCGCGTCGCTGCTCGTGTGGCTGCAACTCCTCTCCGCGTCGAGCAGCGCGTAATGCACGTGGGGACGTGTTTGACGCTGCTGTCATACGTACTGGACCAGCTCCACGTGTGTCTGGTGCGCTAGGGAGTGGAGGTTGGGGCGATGGAGCCGTCAGAGCAGTCGGCGGTGGTGTCTGCAGCAACGGAGATGCTCCATTATCTCCCCCTGATCGGACTTGTCCAAGGCGCCCCTGGCGCAGCGCTCGGGCTTGGCCCTGGGGCGATGATGCGGCTTGCTGAGTCCGCTCAAGAGGCCCCTCTTGGCCTTGTATCAGCAGTCGCATCCGTCCTTCGCTGGATGGATGGGAGGCTTTGCTGGATACTTGCCGAGTAGCAGGTGTTTTCCCTATGCCGGCCTCCTTAGTAGCTGGCCTTGCCTTGGGTTTCCCCATGGCGGTGTAGGCACGCTTGGGGGTGTTGTTGTTGTTGTTGTTGTTGTTGTGTGTTGTCTAGCCCTGCATGTTGTACTGCTCCATGCTATAGTCCTTGTTCCCTTGGTCCTTGTCACATCTCATGCGCGACCGAAGGCCGCGCTGGCGAGCGGCGTCCGCCTTCGGTGGCCGACGCGAGCCGCCAGTTTTGGAGAGTGAAATGAACTCACCAGTGAAGAATGAGCTCAAAGGGGTGCATCTAAGGACTTTATACTAGGAGACTAGACTAAAAAGCTGCGAAGGACTGGATTCTACACTAGAGAGGGCTAATAACGGCTAAGGACTAGTCCTAAGCCATCAATCTCTCTCTCTCAAGCAGTCCTGCATTGATAGATTCATAAGCAGGGGTTTTTTTATCAGAGTAAATTACTCTGTTTCTCTGAAAATCAGAGTGGTTTTTAGGGGGTCACTCTGACGTGTCTGGGTAATTTTTTTGGAGGAAGGTTTTCTCTGATTTGTCAGGGTTCTGATTTTAGCTACTCTGAGAGACCAGTGTATATTTGTGACCGATATACTTTTCTCTGTACAGGGTATAGGCATTTCACCGTGTCACAACCCCCCCCCTCCGTTCCCCCTCTCCCCCCCAATTGTTGAAAGATGGGAAGGGTGCATTAATATATAAAACTCAGTAAACTTGGTGAGCGCGTAGCATAACGCCTGATCCTTTTGGTAGGAGTGTAGAGGGCCTGGGTTCAATACTTGAGAGGACACTCAGAGTTGGTAAAATAGGTACACTGGGTGCCCAGAGTAGATTTTTCAGAAGTTACGTTTTCTCTGACAAATCAGAGTAACGCTCATAATGAACCCTGAATTTCAGAGTTCTCTAGAAAACAGCTCTGGAAATCCGAGTAGTGAAAATCCAAAAAAAAGCCCTGTTCATAAGGGTACAGGCATGGCATGACCGATCATGGTCGATAGGCTACCAAAGATGCAAAGCAAGGACATGCAAGACATGCAAGGGCATGTAAGAACCTGCAAGGACATGCTACGGCCAGAAAACGTGGCAGTCATGGCCATGCGAGCGGGCTAAGCAGAGCAAAACATACAGTGCGGCCTTGGCTATACTACCCTAGCTAGAGCTGTCATGCTCGCCTAGCACTCACCCTCTCTTTCCCCTTTCCCCTCTTAGACCATTCAGCCCCCAACTCCGTCTTCCAGCACCTGCCACAAGTCACCCAGCCGCGGCTCCCATGGGTCTAATGGTGCCTGAGGTGAGGATGCTTCTGCCGCACGGTTGGACTTGGCGAGCAGCCCTGTCGCGTGGCATCTCTGGAGCATCACCGAGAAACGTTGGCGGTAGTGGGCATTAAGCCTTGCTGCTACCGTGGTCTGTGGGCCGTGGCAGAAACCCCTCTTGGCGGCATTAGTGGCTAAGATGCGGATGAATTTGACTGTGTTTGCCGCTAATGCCCCGTAGGTCTCTACCGCCAGCCCCAAGAACCCCACACATGATGGCCTCTCCTGGTACATCTTGTGCTTGCCAATGCAAGCCTCCTCAGCCGCCCACCCTGGAGCCCTTGCTGCCTTTAGGTCCCGCCGCTGCAGAACAGGGTCCGTGATGGCGACATCCGTCACCCATGTCTCGCCCGTCTTTGGATCACGGATGCTCAGATCCGCCCGCTTCCGGTCAACCGGCGGTGAATAAACCGTTGTCTCGTGCAGTGTCATGTACTTAGCCTCCTTAGCCATGCATAGGCACGCATAAACCAGTGCGTTGTGACTGACTGGGGGAGGAAGTTGCCTAGGAGATGGTTGATTGCACCACGCAGGAGGGTAAGTATTTCCTCATTGCCCAGTGCAGGGTCGCGGAAATGTTCGAAGCAGGTTCCTGAGGGGCCCGAGCCTACCCCGCTGGGAACATTTCCCGAGAATGTTGCGAATGTTCTCCTGGGTTACCGAAAGTTCTGATGTCAGCTCCCCCTCGACCAAGAACGGTAGTGGCAGTGTTGCATCAGGGTGTTTGGAGCGTTGGGCCGAAAAAGTTTCGGTGGTTGCCTGTGGTAGCGGGGTTGTTTGTAGCGCGGATACTGCCTTGGACAAATTCCCTTTCTTAACGAGGCCCTCTGCTCTCGAACACAAGCCTATGGCGTCGGCCTGGTGTCGTACTGGTGCCTGGGCCGTTGGTATGGTGATCGCCTCCGCATAGAGGTTATCCCACTCCCCCAACCTGAACCTGTGCAGCCTGCCTTCAATATCAGCCCAGCGGTTCCCCAGTGTGTCGCGGGGTTGGGGACGGAGTGTTAGCCTCGGAAAAATTGTGAGTACGCGCCACGCACTTGGACAATTTGGATTTTTTTGCAAACCGAAGGAGTGGTGTGAGCAGACACAGCGAGTAGTTGGTAAGCACGTCAGGCGGGAGTCTCCTGGCGACAAGTGGTTGGTCGCCCCGTGTGAGCTTGCTCACCTCCCACTGTTCGGTTCCCACCCACAACTCCTCCATTTCTGCAAGTTCTGAGGGGGATCAAACGTCATGGGCTCGTGGGTCCGCCGGTGCTGCCACCGGATCAGCTGCTGGGGCTGGCATTCCGTCCACGTTGTGTGGAGGTGCGCCGGCTCGCGGGATTCGTGCCGCGCGGCTGCCCACCTCCTCTTCTTCTGGGAGCGAAATGTTCTCCGAGCTCGGTGTGGCGGAGGCCATAAACGATGGATCGTCCGCTTCGTTGGCAGCATCTCCATCTTCCTGCTCCTCCTCTCCCTGAGCTGTAATTGGCTCCTGCCTGCCGTGACGCTCCCGCCATGATCCAGATCTTGGCGGCTCTGGAGGAGCCCTCGCCCTTCCCCTTCCCCTTTGTGCCCTTCCCCCTCCCTCCGCACCACCTCTCTGACCCCCCCTACCCGCCGGGATCCACGGCGCTGACGGCGCTACCCAACGGATTCTGCCATCGCCTCGTGCCGCTCGCTGCACTGCAGGCGGGGCCGTCTCGCCCATCTCGTGCCTTTGGCGTCTCTCGCGGCGCTTTTGTTGCTGCGACACTGCAACGTCCCCGACCTGCACTGCTTCCGCCGCCGCTCCCAATGTCGTCGGATCCTCTGGATCGTGTGGCATCGGCTCTTGCCGGAGCCATCCCCAAAGGGGCCCAGGAAGGGTGGGTGCCAGCGTTACTCCGAGCCGTCGCGACTCTGGCTGAGGGCGGCGCCGGCCACGAGCGCCACGTGTGGAGTCGGCGCCCGCCTCAATACCGCTCGCCTTGCGCACAGGCTCACCCCTACCGTCAGTCATCTCCTCGCCGCTGCCTGCACGCAAGGGCAGTGCCCTCTGGCCCGATCCGATCGCAGCCGCGGCGGCAGGATCGGCTATCTCGCCGGCAGCGGCAGCAACACCGCCCACCCGGGGGAATCCTCCAGTCACAGCCTCCCCAGCAGCGGCTAGTTCCGCCTCCGGCGACACTCGCGCCTCCCTCTGCGCCTCATCCTCTGGCTGAGAGTTTGCCGCAGCCTCAACCTCAGCCTCCTGCGGTATCTCCTCCTCAGCCAACTCCTCCACTGTCACCACGTCAGCCGCCGCCTCTCGCGCCTGGACCCTTGTCTCCTCCTCATGCTGTTCCCGGTCCGCCCCCGACGCCATCATCCGAGGCGGGCCCCTCAGCAAACTCCCCCCAGCCCTCTGATCCTTATCCCTGGGAGGCTCTGTCTCCCTGTGCTCGGGCAACTCCTCCTGCGCAGCTGCCGCAACACCGATGGAGTCTGTGGCAGGATCCCTAGCCCGCCGGGATGTCTCTCCACGTCGAGCAGTGCGTAGTGAGCGTGGGGACTTGTCTTGGTCTCCTTGCATTGGTCCTGGATCAGCTGCATTTATGCCTCGCCCGGCTCAGGGCGGGCCTCTTGCGTTCTCGCCAGATGAGCAGGCGGCTGCCGTGTCCGCTTCGATGGAGATTCTGCGGATGCTGCCAGAGATTGGGCTGGTGCCGGGGTCCCCAGGTGCTGAATTGGGGCCCGGTCCTTCCGCTTTGCGAAGGCTTGTACTTGCCGCCTTGCAGGCCCCAAGGGACATTGTACCCGCCGCCGCCTCTATATTGCACTGGATGGACGGCCAGTTGGTTTGGATACTCTCGGAGTGACTATTGTTTTTCCCTTGCTGGACTTTGGTGCTTTGGCGCCTGGCTTGGGCTTCCCCATGGCTGTAGATGCACGCCCGAGGGTGTTGTAGGGTGCCACCTGTCTGCTACCTCCTCATATTGTGATGCCCCCTGTCATATGTGTTTGTTTTCTTGTTTTGTCTTGCCACACCGACAGCACGGCCTTCGGCGGCCGACGCGAGCCGCTGGGTTAAGATAGAAGAACTAAAGTGAGCGATAAAGAATGAGCTCCTACACTGGCCCTAAGGCCTTTATACTACCTAGCAGAGGGTTAGAGAGGACTAGAGAGACTAAGGACTAGATCCAGAGCCTCCCTCTCTCTCTCTCTCTCTCTCTCTCTCTCTCTCTCCCTCTCTCTCTCTCTCTCTCTCTCTCTCTCTCTCTCTCTCTCTCTCTCTCTCTCTCTCTCTCTCTCTCTTGATCTCTCTCCATAGCCGCTGGGTTAGGATAGCAGAACTGAAGTGAGAAATAAAGGACTAGTACCCCTCTCTCTCTCTCTCTCTCTCTCTCTCTCTCTCTCTCTCTCTCTCTCTCTCTCACTCTCTCTCATCCCCCCTTAACCTCTCTCCTCCCCCCCCCACCCTTACAGCAACTAGTGCTGCAGGAAGAGAGGAAGAGGGAAGGGAGGGACGGGTTGCTGGCGGTTCATACCCGCCACCCCCACATCTCCCCCTCCCCCCCCCCCCCCCCCACAACGGAAGCCGCTGAAGGGAGGTCGAGGGGGGGGGGAGGGGGGGAGGGGGTACGTGAGCTGCTGCCAGTGCTGGCGCCGTCATTCGCGTCGGCGCTGGCACTCGCGCTGGGCGCAGGCATTGGCACTGGCACTTGCGCTCCGCGCTGGCACTTACGACGGGCAGGGCGACGGGCGTGACGGGCACGACGAGCAGGGGACGCGACTGGCATGACGGGCAGAGCGCAAGGCGACGACGGAACGGGAAGGGCAGGCGCTTTGGGCACGACCGCGCAGAGCGCAACGGGCATGACGAGACGGGGCGGGTAGGCGGCTCAGGCGTGAGCGGTGACAAAAGAAAAATAGCGCATTTCACGCTTCAGCGCGGGCAGGCCCATGTTCCTTAAAAGAAAGTAGGTCCTAAGACCGTAGTAGCTCTGATAGCATGTTAAGAACTGAACATAGGAGGCTAGGGTTTTGGGAAGAGAGAGTTGGCCAAGAGGAGAGGTGCACTAGCATTGGGAGTACTAGGCTAGGAATCAATGTCAAGAGAATTGTGTTGAGTGACAAGGAGAACGAGATACAAGTGTCGACCTAGAAAGTGTTGTACCCATTAGAGGGCAACTCACTGTAGCCTAGAATATATAACAAAATATCTACAAGATATAAAAATTTGACACACCCCCATAGGCTAAGAGAGGGGCATCAAGGAAACAAACAAATGGTAGCAAATGGTCACAAGACCAGTCAAGAACAAGCAACAAAACAAAGCTCAGGGTGGCGCTCAGAGGCCAGTTCAAGAGTACTAGGATATATAGAAACAAAGCAAGCAAAGCAAACAACAAGCTACAGCAACCGAGGGCCTACCTTAACAAGACGCAGCTGCACACAGAACCTGTGGTGGTCACCAGGCGCCAAGGCCTTGGTGAAGACGTCGGCAGTGTTGGCCTCTGAGGCCACAAAGTCCAAGCGTGCCTGGCCGCGTCGCTGCAGCTCTCGTAGGAGGAAGTACCTCACGTCAATATGCTTCACTCTGCTCTCCAGTCGAGGCTTTCGACACAAGAGGATCATGGCCTTATTGTTAGCGTACAAGGTCGGTGCAGAGCGAGGCCGCTCACGAAGGTTGGTGAGCAAGAAGGTCAACCAGCAAAGCTCCTGTGCCGCCATGGCACCAGCGTAGATCTTTGCCTCTGCACTGGACGAAGCCATAGACGACGACCGTGTAGACCTCCACGACACAGCACCAGCACCCAGACTGAAGCGCTAACCCTTACCCGAACGCTGAGCCTCCACATCGTCAGCGTAGGAAGAGTCGCAGAGACCGGTCAAAGCAACTGGCTATGTCCCTCCAAGCACAAGCCCCATGCCTGATGCAGTCGCCATGTACTTCGCCACCCTCACAGCAGCAGTCCAGTGAACAGGACGTTGTGTCCCAGTCGCAACAAAGCGAGAGAGGGCGCTGAGGGGAAAGGCGAGGTCCGGCCGAGTACGAGTCATCAGGTACATGAGGCAGCCCACGAGCTCTGCGTAGGGACCACTAGACTCAAAGGGCTCATCGGGGAAAGGGCCAGTGAGTCAGTGGTCAACGCCAAGAGGAGTGGGTTGTGTGGTGGAAAACTGAAACCCGAACCGCCGAAGGACCTGCTGCACCATGTGTGACTGAGTTAGTGTGATGGTGCGAGCGACTCTGTCCCTGGTGATCTGCAGGCCAAGGTAGCGCTGCAGTTCACCAAGGTCAGTGCACGTGTGTCTCTTCTGAAGCTCAGATTTCACCTCAGCTAGAGCTGCCCTGTCTGCTGTGGCAAAGACCAAGTCGTCGACGTAAAATAGTAAAAAGAAAGGAGTTGAACCAACATGAACAAACAACGACGGGTCGGCAGAGGAAGGACGAAACCCAAGGTCACGAAGCGTGGAGCGAAGAGTGTCGTGCCACTCACGGGGCGACTGGCGGAGACCGTAGACTGGCCACCTCACTCTCCATTGGGTCCCAGGTGGGAAGGAGTCAGTGAAACCAAGAGGACGTCGCAGCCAGATCTCCTCGTGTAGGCGGCCCTGGAGAAACGCAGTGGAAAAGTCGAAAGTGGAGCTCGTAGTCTCGCTGTGCTGCTACGTGCAGTAACACCCGAAGAATAGTCATCTTCGGAGTCGGGGCGAAGGTCTGGAAGAAGTCAACTCCTTCACGATGACTGAAACCCCTAGCCACGTAGCGCGCATTGAACACAGGCGGCGAACCAGGCGGCCAGTTCACCTTGAAGAGCCACATGCCATCGACAACGTTCGCCTCGGGAGGGGGAACATCGTCGACGTAAGTGCATGTGGATCTCAAAGACGCTAACTCTGAGTCCATAGCCGCTTTCCACTAAGAGGCCCACTCCCCTGACACTGCCTGGCGGTACGTGCGAGGATTCGGTATGTCAAGGGCGTCGCGGTCTCCCTCAGGGGAAAGCAGCATGGCACAAAGAGAGGGGGAAGCGGATGCCAAGAAATCCAGCTCAAACTTCTTGTCCTCTAGGACGTCACAGCCAAGGGCTGACTCATCCCCGACGGACAAAGGACGGGTAGCCACCACACGCGTGGCGTAGTCAAGATGGCGGGTGGAAGCATAGTCAGCGACAGCGGCAGTAAGAGCCGAGACAAACAACAGAGAGGCACGAGGGTCGGTGACAAGAGAGGCTAAAACACGTGTGACAACAGGGCGAGCAGCATGGTAGTAGTCAGTGATAGGGTGAGAGGAAACGGTGAGAGACGACCCAGGAGGTGAGGGCAGAACAGACACAGGCAGAGAACAACGAGGAGGAGAACAAAACAAGACGGTGCGGAGGTCGGCAAGAGGAGATGAGGGCCGAGCATGTGGAGGACAACGACTGGTCCAGTTGTGCCGGACAACAGGAGGAGGCGACTATGACTGAGGAGGAGAGAAACAACCAGATTCGAGTCCGAAGGAGGAAACATAGGACCCTACGTGGTAGGAGACCGTGAGTGAACAGGATGAGAGGAAGGAAGACCAAGGACCCGAAGGCCACTCATTGGAGGGAACAGCTGCTGCAAAAGTGGCGGTTGCGGCGGCTGCTGCTGGTCCAACTGCTGCAACGCCTACCTCACCTACTCCAACCACTCATGCTTCTCTCGCTCAAGCCGGCGAAGGGCTTGGAAATGGGTGTCGTGGCAGTGGGAAGGCGCAGTGGGCGAGGCAGTAGGCGAGCCTCCAGCTCCCGTCTCCTCTGTACCAACTCCTACAGCGCCAGCACCTCCTACTCCAGCACCTCCAGAACTAGCACCGCCAGTGCCAGCACCTCCAGCTCTAGCACCCCCAGAACTAGCACCTCTAGTGCTTGTACCTCCAGCTCAAGCACCCCCAAAACTAGCACCTCCATTGCCAGCACCTCCAGCTCCAGCACCCCTCGAACGAGCACCCCCAGACCGAGTACTGCAAGTGGCTGCACCTCCAGCTCCAACACCAACCGATTCCACAGTAGCCTGTTGCGGAATTGCGAAGGCTGCTGATGGGACTGTGAGGAGGACTGCGGGGAGGGAGACGCAACCTGACGCGCGACTGAGGGTAGAGGGGTAGCATGAGACACACCTGACAGGGGGGGGGGTGGGGGTAATGGAGGAGCGGGAGCAAGGGGGAGAGAGGGTGCGAGAAAGAGGGGGGGAGGGGGAACCGGGAGACCTCGATAGGGGTATCAGGTGTAGTAGGACACTGACTCGTCAAAACGGACGTTACGAGAGTCTAGAAACTAGTGGAGGGGCGGGTGGTAAAAGGAGTAGTCGGGAGAGCCCACCGAGAAACTAAGGAAGATACAGGGGATGGCACGAGCCGAGAGCTTGTCCTCAGAGGTGTCGCAGACAAGCGCAAGGCATCCCCAGGCATGAAAGGCCGACCCAACACCAGAGGATCTAGTCCAAAGACTGCCGGTGAAACCTTTGGCCACGAGACACGCGGCTGGAGGTTCAGCTAGTGTACAGCGTAGCGCAACGCGTAGGGCCACAAATGGGGCTCACGGGCATGGATCATGGACGTGC